GTTCCAGTTATGGATTACATTTCCACCAAACAAGCTGCCTAGGATCTTAGCTGCTTCGAGTTCTCTTTTACAAAAGAATAGAATGATGATTTTCATTACGATAATCTTGTTATTTGTTCCTTAAGGCTCCTTTTGTTCCCCTTGTTCTGTTTGTACTTAGCTTCACTGAATTTGCAATAGACCTTCCTGTGTTGTTTTGCTTGACATTATTTACTTTCTAGAATGCAGTACAAGTGCTTCATCTGATGATAAGCAAGAGTTTGAGGATATCTCGGAGGAAGATGAGCCTTCCTTCCATGACACAAAGGAGTATTTTAGCGAACCTGATGTTGGTTCTGACCACATGCATTTCAAGAGACGAACAAAGCTTCCTGATCCAGCAGAGAAAGAGAGAGGTGTCAGTCTCTGGTCTATGATCAAAGACAATGTTGGAAAGGATCTCACGCGAGTTTGTCTTCCTGTTTATTTCAATGAACCAATATCATCCCTCCAAAAGTGTTTTGAAGATTTAGAGTACTCTTATCTCCTGGACCAAGCATACGAATATGGAAAATCCGTAAGTGACTTTATAATATATGTTGAACACTTGCTCACTGTTATGTGCAAACGTTTTCTCTGCTTTATACTTGTGTTTATTTCTTAATACTAAGATTTTTAAATACATACCTCCTATGATCTTGCATGATATGATATCTGGCCTATAGTGTATGTTTTTTTTTTCATCATGAATTGACCTCTGAGCTTGTTGGATTAACAGAGTTTTTCATCATCAGGGGAACAGTCTCCTTAGAGCCCTGTATGTTGCTGCTTTTGCGGTCTCTGGTTATGCTTCCACTGAAGGACGGCACTGTAAACCTTTCAAACCTTTGCTTGGAGAAACTTATGAAGCCGACTTTCCTGAAAAGGGAGTTTGTTTCTTCTCTGAGAAGGTAATCTCACACATACTCTTTTTAACTGGAGTTTTGATGAGATGAGCACAGATGTCAGTCTTCCCTGACACAGATAAATGTCAATAAACTCTCTGATTCAGGAGCAGCTCTTTGTACTTTATACATGTTAATTTGCATGTAATTGACACTCAGATTCCTTCATATCCGCATTTGAGAAAGTTGAAACATATGCAAAAATAACTGAATATCTTTCCCTAAGAAGATTGGCATATAATTCGTCGGGTATTTTGCTCTCATAATAGGTCAGCCATCATCCAACAGTCATCGCCTGCCATAGCGAAGGTAAAGGGTGGAAGTTCTGGGGTGACACAAACCTGAGGTCAAAGTTTTGGGGGAGATCGATTCAACTTGAACCCGTTGGAATCTTGACTCTTGAGTTTGATGATGGAGAGACTACAAACCAGTGGAGCTAAGTATGTATTATATAAACTACAAATCTCCTGTCCTTTTTCCACATTTGATTTATGGCCTTGAGATTCACAGCTATCTCTCTCTCTGCTTATCTTTGTTTTTAGGTAACAACAACTATATACAATATCTTACTTGGTAAACTCTACTGTGATCACCATGGGACAATGCAAATCCGTGGGAATCGCCAGTATTCTTGTACGCTCAAGTTCAAGGAGCAATCGATTCTCGATAGAAATCCCCACCAGGTGATTTCACAGAGATACACACTGTGACGAGTTTTCAATCTTTGTTGTCCAGAATACCTGAAATAACTTCGTTGTCAAATATATATAGGTTAATGGTTTTGTTGAAGATGTAACTGGAAAAAAGCCGCAATGGTATTTGGTAAATGGGATGATAGTCTTTGCTATGTTGCTGGTAATGGGGTCAACAAGGCAAGTGCTTCATTACTGTGGAAAGCGATAAAGCCGCCTCCTAATGTCACTAGATACAACTTAACATCATTCTCGATCACTCTAAATGAATTGACACCTGGTTTAGAGGTATATTACAATCTGCTACATTTTTTTCTTCGGGATGTGCTATATTTCAATTTTTTTTTTAATAACTGATCTGATATTGTGGTAATTTTGTTCATTTTGGATTAAAGGAGAAGCTCCCTCCGACAGATTCTAGGCTCAGACCAGATCAACGGCACTTGGAGAATGGTGAATATGAGATGGCAAATGAAGAGAAACAACGATTAGAGAGAAGGCAAAGAATGGTAAAGAGACTCGTGATTCTTTCTCTTCACAAACCTTTTAATGCTTTGAGTAACTATAAAATTGCTTTTGATTCCGCAGTCACGGAAGATTCAAAAAGCGGATGGAGACCAAGATGGTTCGAACCACAAGAAAACAGCGAAGGCTACAAGTATACAGGCGGTTATTGGGAAGCACGAGAAGAAAAAAGTTGGGATGATTGCCCTGACATATTCGGGGAGTTCACCGAAGAGATTGCAGATTGTGCTTAAGGCTATCTCTGCTTCATTTCAGGTATATTATGATGTATATTAGTTGATACCTCTTATTCACTCAAACCGGTCCGTGAATCAGCTTTAAACACTTGGGATTTAACATTGTTATGGTCCAGGGTTAAAGGAGGAATTTGAGCTGTGCACTAGAGAGATCGTCTCTTCGACAATGAGTCGGAGCTTTTATTTCGGTTTGAGTTTTCTGCTTCGTTATACTCAAGAGATAGAAAGAGGCATATAAAAGAAGATGATTAATTCTTTTTGTAATGATGATTGTTAAATATATAAATCTTCAAGAGTGTCCTTAAAATAGTTCATAAAGACTCACTGTAAAGGTTACTGAAAGAAATGTAGTGTGGTTCCAACATTTGGACTTATATTCCTTGTGATCTATTTGTTTTTAATTCAATACAAAGGACGTGATTGAAATTTTTCCTAGTCAAGAAATTTGCTTTGAATAGTTCTGTTGGGTTGGGTCGATCGGACCAGACTCAGTGTTGGGATATGACAATTTGTCGTTAGGTTCGGACAAAATTTCGTTTGCGAACAATTAAGGCCCAACCCGGTTCAACATGGTTTCGAACAATGTTTTAAAACCGGTGTGACCTGTTTGGTTGGACTTGGAGAGGTCCAGCTTAGCTCTAGTAATGGATTTGGTGTGGATAAGGTTTTCAATTTTAAGATGGAAAAAGCCATATTTTTCTATATTTTCCCCCTAAAATTACTTTTTTCTTTTCAAAACAAACTTACTTCGTCGACKAAAAAAAAAAAAAAAACTTCATTCATTTAACCGATTAAAGTACAAAAGGAGGGAATTGAGCATCCTCCAACATTACTACAACATAATTGAAATGCAATAAAACATAGAACAGATAGATAATCGTAGAAGATGGACAGCGGACCAAGACATGCCTCGGATGCGTCAAGAGGGTTTTCGCGGCAAAGCCAGAGAGTCCAGGTTGGTCACTTTCCAATGTGACTTTAAAGATCCTGGCATAAAGTTCGGGAATTCGACCACCTCCAAGAGAGGGAAGAAAATACGTCCAGTCTCAAAGAGATGGAAGAAGGTGGAATTGAACTCTTCCACCGGGGATAAATTAGAGGAGTTGAGAATCCATAAAACTTTGGACTTCTCAAAGAAGAAAAGCCAATGAGCTCAAAAGCAAGTGAGATTTTTGCAAATATGATTTTTGACATTATGTGGGCTGGCCAGGATTAGTGAGTGCAATACTCCAGTAGGACCTCAACAAGGCCTTGGAAGGCAAATGAACTAAAATCTCTCTCGAAGAAAGGGAAAAAGGCACGACCACTCTCAAGAAAAAAGAAGAGGATACGACCACTCTCAAAAAGAGGGAAGAAAATATGATCATACCCGATATGGAAGAAATTTGAGAAGAGGTCAAAAACCTCATCGGACTATGCATTTTCTCTTCACGAGAGAAGAGGAAACGATGAAACATCTCTCCTTGGCCAAGGAGGAAGATGGTGTCACGGTCATAGACAACAACAAACTCGGCAATATATAAGTGTGACATAGGATCAGTCATGGCTTGATAAAATTTGCAAGGTTTATGATAAACATTTATTCAACCCACCAAAAGCAATATGGGCTAGGCCCAATAGGTGAATCTTGAGGCCCATCAAGGTGTGAATGTTGAGATTGAAAGAGAGAGATGTTTGATCGGAGATGGTGGTCTTTCGCTGGCACAACATCTCGGACGCTGCGAACCGGATCTCGATGGAGACATAAAAGGACGGTGACTTTGGCCAGCTCGACGATGGAGGATGTGGCGGTGGAGATTGTTGAAATCGTGGTTGAGAAGAAAGATCTGGGAGCCGTACTTGGGGAGGCGGAGTCGGAGTCGGATCTGGTGGAACCGGTGGTCCGAGAGGCTGATGAAGGTTCGACTTCGCCGTAGGGCTCCACCACCGAAGCTGGGAAAGAATCTTAACCTGAACGAATGGGCTCGCCGTCGCGGAGAGAGGAAGCTGGAGAAAATACATCGGTACAACCTCACGCAACGAGAAGAGCTTGATTGACATCAACATAACCGGAGCAGGCCGGAGTCGGAGATAGAGATCTCGTCGACGAGATAGACAAACCGGCGGACAATGAGAACTGTTCTTTGGGATAAGCTACTAACCCGAGAAAGAGAGAGCAGCGTCAGTCGGCTAGTCAGAAATCTAGTAGGAAGAGGCACGCCGATGGAAGAAGTTCATCTTGGGCTGGTCGTGCGCATGTCTCAGAAAGAAGGTGTAGGAGAGAACTTACCTAGGACGAACTCTTCAATCTCAATCTCTTCTAATTGTTCCCCCCCTAAAATTACTACTAAGAAGAGTTTGTAAAATGTTTAGGAAATGATACTTAAGAACTTTTACTAAAGTTTTAAGAACCCTCCAAAATCTTCTTAATTAATCTGATTTATATGGTATTTTTTGAATTTTATAAATGTTAGCATTTTTGGAACAAAACTTATTTTTCGGTATTCTAGAGTATATGCTTTACGGTATACTAATTTTTTTTTTTAATTTATTTGTATTTTACAGAAAAAATATTCAACGTATAGTTTTTACATAGACAGCTTTATATATATATTTATAAGCTATATGATGTTTTATTGTATGCCTAACGTCTCTCGTATTTTAAAATATTACTAATTAGAAGAAAATTATATTTATATGTTTAATAGTTGATATGAAATCATTTACCAACATCATGTCTTTGATATAGTTTTAAAGACGTGTTTTTATAGTCGACCAAAGATTATTATATATTTTATGTATGAAATAAGTGATGGGCGATCTCAAGTTTTTACTAGGCCATATCTAGTTAAAGGATCATCTTTCATTTTACTCGTCATTGATAAGGATCGTCTTATGTAAGATGTTGACTACCAGGAATTAATCTGTTTCTATAGGATTTATAAAATATAAAAAATCACACACATATATATTTGTAAATTGCGTAGGAATTGATTCTGTCGGTCCAAATAGAAGAAGACAAATCTATATTCTATTGATAATTAGTGGTTCCAATTAAAGTCAACCTGACGACGACTCTGGATTAATCCCAATCGCACATTTTCATTAATGTCTGTTAACAGATGATAAATAACGCAGAAAATATGAATCGTAGACGAAGAGACACGAATGTGAAATTTAAAGAATATCTGTATTCCATTATAAAACTAGAGAAATCTTAATACTGTAAAGAAAAAAAAAGTTGAAAAATTTCAAAAAATACCATTTTTCAAGTGCTATTTTTCAAGTGTCATTTTACAAAAATGCCATACTTTTGAAATCTTTATAAAAATGCCACTTTTTCAAAATTATTTTTTCTTTATATTATTTATGTTTGAGTTAATTATGTTCTATTAGGGTTTAGTTTTGAGTGTTTAGGGGGTTTTAGGTGTCAAAACATTTTTTAGAGTTTAGAATTTTAAGATATATGCTTTATAAATCTATAATT